GAGCAAGCTCACTGTTAACTGGATTATGAAACCAATTTTTAATAACGCCTTAAAGAAACAGAGTTAGGCAGTATGGTAAACGAAGACAATTCATTGAAATCTCCACCTGTCTTGGCCGCAGCTAACTGGTTCCTGGCCCCGCAACAGCGGCTTGCCAGGATCTGTGCAAGACAAAAAAAAAAAAAAAAAAAAAAATATATATATATATATATATATATATATATATATATATATATATATATATATATATATATATATATATATATATATATATATATATATATATATATATATATATATATATATATATATATACAATCATCAGACTGTCCCTGAAGATGTGAATTACACGAAAGCGCTTGGGAACTTGTGGTTATCAGCATATACCTAGATCACGCGCACCTACAGTGATTTACTTGTGTATATATATATATATATATATATATATATATATATATATATATATATATATATATATATATATATATATATATAAACACTTGAGTAGGTAATCCTAGTCTGGCTCAGGGAAGTACTAGGCATGCATTGGCTCCTGAATGTATCTGAATCTGCTCCAGTGTTGGTCAAGCCTGGTCTTGAAAGAGCTCACACTCGGTGTCGTCACAACACTCTCTGGCAGATTTTTCCAAGAGTTCACAATTCTCACTCCAAAAAAGTTACCCCTCACAGTTTTGTGGACACGTGACTTCTTCAACCTTGAGCTGTGACCGCCTTGTGGGGCGAGCGTCCGCCAGTTCCAGGCAAGGGCACTCGACTGAGTAGTGCTCTTTGAGATGTTTATACACCTCAATTAGGTCCCCCCTTGCCCGTCTGTAGTATAAATTAGGCAGTTGTAGGCGCTCTAATCTCTCAGGATAGCTGAGTTGCCGAAGTGGTGGCACCAGTCTGGTGGCCCTCCTTAGGAGATTTTCAAAGGTGTACCTAGGTAATCGTAGTCTTGGCCAGGTAACTCAAATGGTGTGGCCCGGTAATCCTAGTGTCTTGACCAGGTAACCCAAATGGTGCTGCCAAGTAATCCTAGTATCTTCATCAGGTAACCCAAGCCTTTCTACGTATTACCAGAAGATTGGGTCAGGTGTTGCAGCACTAATAAGGAGTTCCCAGAAGAGATTGCCTCATGTTTACTAGGTAGCCTCGACGCCTCAGGTGCCACAACATAACATCCGGCCACCATTGGACAGGTGTTTCCACAATAGCTCACTTGTCCGGATATAGTCTATGTTTACAAGCACGTTGAGTGAAGAGATCCCGTGTGGTGGCGGGTATTTCTGTAACACACCACTTCCTGTTGTTCTATAATACGATATATAAAAGTCTAAACACCTGGGAAGATACAATGTTATTTTATTTTCCATTAGAAATGATTTATGGGTGAATAAACTGTCTAGAAAGAAGTTTTATTTCAAAATTATATGACTTGGATCCAATGAAATGTCACTATTATTATTACACTACTTGGCTCCTGTACAAATATTGCTTGGGACTGTACCTTCAAACACGTTTTCTCACCGTTAAAATAGTCTGGCCAGACGTCCTGCTTTTGAGCACTCAGTCCTCCGTCCTGCGCCACCTCAAGCAGGACGTTAATTTGTCCTTCTCTTTTGGGCCTGTCTAAAAAGAATTATATAAATTACCTATACTAAAGCAGTGGGAACTGAAGGCCACATTGGTAAATAGGCTACTTCCTTAAGTTTGTGAAGTAAGTTAATTTGGTTAGCGTACAGTATGTTGTTCCAGCAGGAGTAAAAATGAATATTCATTTCTTTCAGTTCTTTATTTATACTGTATGAATGCATATATCATGTATGTAACATATACAGTGCGTTTAAAAAAATTTAATTTTAGAAAACCACAAAATAGCCTTCATTACATTATAGTAATACTGTATGTGACAAATCAACACTTCTAAGTATATTTTATACAACTTTTTATATTTCAACTCACCATTAAACATGTTTAATTTAGGTTAAAAATAATTGTCGTAAAAATTTAAAAAATTTCCTTTTGGAAATTTGGAAATGGCCACCCTACCTTAAAATGAAGAAAATTTGGTTTAATACAACGGCAAGTTTTCTTGGAATATTGTATATTTATTCATTTTACCGAAACAAAAAGTATTTTTATCTGATTTAATGTAATTACTTGCTAGTGTTCATTAGTGATCATGTTAAGTCAGCCGGCCTGGAAGTCCCACACTCTGGGAAAATTTTACGTTACATCATATGGAGATAATGGAGTGATTCCAGTTACCTTACCTGCTGTCTTGTTTATCTTCCTACGTCTTCCCCGGACAGAGTGAAACTATGGACAAGTTTCTTTACACCATTAGCCAGTGCAGTTGGGGAGTTGTCCGGTCTTCTCGGACTATTCCTTGACACTGAGCCATGCAGCTTGTTAACTCAGGGTGTGGTTGTTGTATTGGCGACAGCTTCTACACCTTAAATAAATTCACGCCTGAGTGGCCCTTGTGCCGGCAATCCTCGTTACACGAGGGGCAACCATTATGTGTGTGCACCAGTGTGTGTGTGTGTGTGCGTGTTTGGTGTGTGTGTGTGTGTGCATGTTTGCGTGCGTGTGTGCGTTGGACCAGTCAGACAGCCTAACATGAACGGGTTCATGAAGACTAGTTTGACTCGCCGACTAGATTTCCCCCGCATCACAAAACCAGCATGAGAGACTTCTTATTGCGCCGTAACTAGAAAAATGTTCAAGAATACAATATTAACCGGTTTGAAGAACAGCAATTTAAGGGAATTTGTGTTTTGTTTGGGGTATTGACGTCATACACTAACATGCTCTCTATGTTGGATGCTACAATGTATTAATTAGACTGCACTAACTACTATGGTCGTGTTGATGTTATAAATCGGTTGATTTTTAGTTCATATTAGGCTCCATGCTCAGTGTATTAATAAACATCTTTGCATAACTATACAAAAATATCCTCATGTATTATTTCAAAGTTCTAAACAAGATTAATTTGTATTTTTTTTTCAAGCGTTAAAAATCCCTCAAAAGATTCACTGATTATTTTACCCGGTATTAAATAGGCGTCGGGTTCTTTTAAATAGCCTCATATGGACCTTCACCTTACATAATGGAAATTTCAAAACACTCAGGTTGACTGATGCACTATAGGTGTTTATTTGATCACTAAATCTGACCAGGTAGGCATTCAGTAGTCAGAATTCTTCAAACCAAAGTTTCTTGTGTAAAGCCTAACCAAATTTTCTTGGTTAATGGCTAATCAAAATTTCTTGCGTAATAGCCAACGAAAGTATTTTAAATTACTCCTCTTGGTGATAAACATTGGACTCATCAGTAAGTCTAAATATTCACCATGTAATTTGTGTTCACCTTTACATTATAATGCAAAGATGTTAAGTTATTGATAGTATTTACAAGTCGTCCGTAGTTGTGTGTTGTGAAATAGCTGGGATGAACTTGTCGACGGTATTGTTAATATACAAATAACCAAGTTCTCCTTTCCACTCTTATCTTCCCGTTTCCTATAAGGGGGACTATGAAAGATGAGATTCTGGTAATCGATATATAGCGTGTAATCTATGATATCTATTTAAACTAAGATTAAACTTTAAGGGAAAATCGAGTTTTTTGGTTGAAAATGTTCAAAGGAGGGCCACCAGACTGGTGCCTGCACTTCGGCACCTCAACTACCCTGAGCAATTGGAGCGCCTGAACTTGCCTAGCTTATACTACAGACGGGCAAGGGGCGACCTAATTGAGGTGTATAAGCATCTCAAGGGGCACTACTCAGTCGAGTGTCCTTACTTGGAGCTGGCGGACGCTCGCCCCACAAGGGGTCACAGCTCAAGATTGAAGAAGCCGCAGGTCCAGAAAACTGTGAGGGCAAACTTTTTCGGAGTGAGAGTTGTGAACTCTTGGAACAATCTACCAGAGAGTGTTGTGACGGCACCGAGTGTGAGCTCTTTCAAGACCAGACTTGACCAACACTGGAGTAGGTTCAGGTACATTCAGGAGCCGGTGCATGCCCAGTACTTGCTAACAGTGAGTAACAGAGACGTGACCGATCGCCCAAACGGCTAACGAGCCGATCAATTGGTGAAGAGGATAAAAAAAAAAAAAAGAATTGTACAGGTTCGTTTAGGGATTTTTTTTTTTTTTGTGGAACTTTATAACAGTGATAAGGACGTGCCGTCCTTATCACTGTTATAAAGTGACTTGCCCATGACGGCAGCAGACTAATAATACAGTATAGTTATGATGTAGTAGGAAGAGAGAGAGGGGGGGGGGGGCACTGAAGCGACACAAGGCCTTCATTTGTACGCTTGCCTGGAGGAGTCAGAAAGCGTAATGATAAATGCAGGGAAATCCTATATTTCAACAACGTAAACTCAATTTTGTGCGAATACTAATTTCCTGTAGTCGTAGTTTAGTGGTGATTCAGCCCAAAGAGGAAGTGGACCATGTGTCATTATATCAGTACTGTATTATGAATTTAAAGGTCAATGTGTTGAGCTGTGCGTGTTTACAGTATGTGCTTGCTTGCGTGCGTGAGTATTTGTGTATTTTATCTATCTGTACAAAGTCGCGTGATTGTGTGTACTGTACGTGTTATGAGGTGCATATGTGTAAATACGGCATATATTGCTGTATGTCCTCACGCAAACAATAAGATATACCTTATAAACGATAAATATCACCATCCTAACCAAAGACTATCATATAATAGTCTTTGATCCTAACAACAAAGAGAGCGAGGGAGAGAGTCGTCCTTCGTTGGTTGTGAGATCACAAGGGAAATCCCCACACACACACACACTGCTGGCACCAGACTAGGTGAGCTACTGAGGCTCTTCGCTGCCAGTTCACCTCTTTACCAAAATATATAAATATTAATTCATAGCTGATGATAACTAAATAAAATACGATACTGAGTAAAAATAATATATAAATAGCTAGTTATTTAGGTTTTATGACCAAAACTAAACCTAATTATTTTAATCTTAAGGTATTAGAACAAGACAGAATATTATGACTTGTGTTTTTTGGTCTTGGGATTTTGTCTGATATGATTTGCTGGTATACTCGAACCACATCTACTGAATGAGCCAATCACCAATTTTCTCAAACACAAAAAACAAAACAGGTAAGTTTAAACTTCCCGGATGATGCAACAGATGGATGTAACACAGCACAAGGGCACTGGGGCAGGTGATCAGTATCCCTTGCTCACCTGTACTAAGTGTGCGTCTGACTATTACTCTCATCTGCGTGACTTCCCAGCAGCACATCACAACAATGGTAAGTTCTAAATCAAACCATTCTTTAGTGTTTACAGTATATATTATCTTTTTAAATAAGATAATAATTATCCACAAGAGAATTGTATATTAGGAGTCGTGTACATTGAACGATTAAGGCTTACGCCAAGTATGCCATTTTCTTTCTCTACCAATGGGCAGGATTAAGATCTGTATGAGGGCATGGCTCTCAGACAATAAGTTAAGCAATCTCTGTATTCTCTCAACAGTTTGATCTCACACGATCATTAAATTTCAAAGATGATCTGATGATGTGAATAACTTGGCAACAAGGAAGAAAACTTTTGTGTTAATGTTTGAGTTCTATCTCCTTGTACTTCTTTTGTGAAATATTTGCTACAATGACTAAAGCTATTATTATATGCGTTATGTGAAGTAACTTTTGTCATCATGAATAAAGCTATTATAATACTGTGTTCACATTAAGTGTATTTATTTATTATCATGTGCTCAATTCTAAATTATAAATAAATAAATGTTTGTAGTAGATAAATTCCAATCATATTTTAATTTACTGAGACTTAAAAAATATACAGTTGATAATGAAGAATACATGAGCCCCCCAACCTTAACAAGGCCCTGGTCATGTATTGAATTATTAGGTTTATAGACGAAGTATTAATTCTTTTCTTTCAATCATGTCCGCCTCTATATATTTGATTCTGTCGTTCGTTTTTAATACTATCAATATCTTTGAATCCGCCGTAATTATAGAAACTAAAACTACCATTTTTCGTAACTACAACTAGTGTTTATGAAGCAAGGATTGGCAGCTTCTCTCTCTCATCTTGAAAATCACTACACGTATATCTAACCATGACTCTGGGTTAGCAGCACCAGTTGGAGAAGAGAGTGTTGGTGGTGGTGATGGCGGTGATGGGGGCAGCGAGTATCAGCGAGTCCTGCCAGTACTACTGTCTTACTCCTAAACCCAATAGAACGTCCTACTGTTGTGGTCTGGCTGGGGTGGACTATGGAATTCCTAGCTGTGAGTATCTTAGATTATGGACAATTTAATTTAAGGGAAGGTTAGAGTAAGTTAAGATTAAGTTTAGGTTTGTGTTACATCAAGTTAAGGTATGGCTGAATTAGGTTAGTTCAGGTTAAGGTAAGGCTTGATTAATGTACCGTGTATGTTGTTTTATAAGACAGATAACAGCTCATGTTCTGAAGTAATAGTCATGGTCGGTCCCACTAATTACCCAAATGTAGCCACAATGAAGTCAAATGATGGTCATACAAGCGTAAATCAGGCATTTGGGTAATTAGTCGGACCCGTCATGGTATATATCTATAAGTGAAATGACATTAAAATTTTTTCGGGCAGACCACACCGGAAGTTGCCCTCCCATACGCTCTCACTGTCCAAGAGGTACTAGCCAGGCCCCTGAAGTAAGTATAAACCTTTTACTTTATCCTCTACTAAAAATGGTTTTATTATGTCCCTCACACTAGGTCAGGTTTTTAGAACATTTTAGAATCACTTGCAGATTATCCCCCAGTGTAATTCACCTCAAGATTAACTCCCATAATGTTAACTTAACCTAACCCTCCCAAGAAAAGTTAGGGTGTTTAATCATCTCATGAAATAAGTGGGGTGGGGAGGGGAATAATTTTTAAGAGATTTTTTTTAACTTTGTTTTTCTTGACCAACTAATCATTAAAACCAACTCTCTTTACACCTTCCCATAAGAATAACATCAGTTTAGAGAGAATTTTTTGTGGAATCTGGTCCTCTTAAACACCCTTCTTCAGAAACATTATTACCCTGAGCCACAAACACCCCTGACACACGACTCTTCAACCCTAATGAAGACATGTCCTTTACCCCTTGTGTATGAAATCCTCTCTGTGCTAAATAAAGTCGCCTGGTGCTAGCCAAATAAAATCTTATACCTGTAGTAGCAATCTGAAGTGAAGGAGTTAAGGACAACTTTGTAAAATGATTTTTTGGTTACAGATCATATGAACATTAACACCCCAGCTTATTTCACGTGATGATTATACCATAACATTAATTTAACCTGACCAAGCCCAATTTAATTTAACATATCCTAAAATTCTTACCAATTAAATTAACTTTGGGTATTTCTGTAGATGTGCCCTCATGATGGAGCCTGTCCTCTAGATAACAAGTGTTGCTGGGACACTTGTCTCAAATTCCACACCTGTAAAGCCGCACTCAACACTACCCTGGAATTTCCTGACAAACCCAGTTTCCCTGATGTGTCGATCCACGCCCGAGCAGATGTTAACGAGTAAAACCACGCCCGAAGAGGTGATCACAAGTGAGGCTGCGATTCTTCCATTCAGTGATGTAAAATAAAACATGTACAGAAGATACTTTATGTTATGCACATATGGTCTTAGAGTTAACTGATACATCATAAACACAATAAAATACCCTTGACTAAGTCATGTTTTCATATCCTTGTCATATAATAATAAAAATTTCCATATCAACATTATCTTAATCTATTTATGTTATCTCTGCGTCTTGTGGAGGAAGGTAACGGGGCTGTGTCCAGACTTTTATCAGTTTGTGTGAAGTGGGTCAGTGGTGCTGTGTGTTACCAGTTACAGATCTCCGCTAAAGTATTCTGTACTCCGGACTTTGTAATGATAAGCAACTTCTTAATCTGTCCAGTGCTTGTCCAGGAGTCTGTCAAAGATCAACACATTATGGAGATCTTAACATAGGTACCGTAAACTTGTTTTGCTTCAGTGTTGTCTGTCTGTATATGTGTATTATGCTGTCACTGTTGGATCCAGACTTTATCACTGGAGGACCATTCATAGATCCAGGTGGCAGTTTTAGAAGAAGAATATTGGTCAAAATTTACCATGAGTCAAGGATGATTCAGTGTTTATTGCACCTTTAATCAACCTAGTCATGATACGACTGTTTCCTGTTGTCTTCTTACACCCTTCAAGGTCCTTATCACACACACACTATCAGGCCACAATTTACACCATTTTAACTGTAGTGTTTAACTTAGGCCTACAGTGTCATAACATAATTTCTTAGGATCATTGAAAGCATCACATATAAAAATGTATAAAAAGACTTTTATTAATTTCCTTTGTTACAAATATTACAGCGTGTAATCTTAATTACTTTATTTTTCTTCTTTGGTACACAACTTCTATAAACCTTTCTGGGAACCTACTTGGGATGGGCCAAAGGCATATACAGTGGTCCCTCGGTTAACGAACTCAATCCGTTCCAACAGGTTGTTCGTTAACCGAAAAGTTCGTTAACCGAAACCTTTGTTTCAATGGGTTTTTGGGTAATTGGTTCCAGCTCACCGAAAATTTCCTAAATTCAACAAAAATGGTAGAAAAGTTCACTTACTTTGAGGTGTGTATGTAAAGGCTCCTGGATGATGATGATGATGATGATGATGATGGGAATTAGAATGGGGGTGGAGGAGAAGGAAGAAGAGAAGGCATTGGGGTGGAGGAGAAGTCACCCCATGGCACCATTTCACCCATAAAATTTTAGTTCTCTTGGTGTATTTCAAGATTATTTTCTTTAAATTAACACTGCACTGCATTATATATTGTCAATATGTAAAATATATTTCAAAATGACCAATAATTTGCTTGGAAACACAGAAAAAAGCATTTAGTTGAAGAGAGTCTCAAGCAAGATGTTACCTCCAGTGAAAACAGAGAGAGACTTAACGCCTGTTTGCTGTGTTAAGAGGCTGGATGCTGCGCATTAAACTAGTCACTTTACCTTCAATTATGTTCAATAATTGTTAAAATGACTAAAAAATTGAATATTAAACTTTTAAAATTATTGAATAGTATAAACTTATTGATATTTACTAAAACAGTAAGGAATTTAAGCCCTAGAACCGATTAATGTATTGGCGGACTGATACTAAAGCTGGTTGCCCGGCCAGTGCAAGCGAAAACATGTTGAGGTCGGTTAGTAAGAAGTTCGTTAACCGAATTGAAGATTCTTATGGAAGGCAGTTCGTTAACCGAAATTTCGTTAACCGAGGCGTTCGTTAACCAAGGGATCACTGTATACCTACATGTGGAAACTAAAGATAAGCTGAGTGAACACTGGATACAAATGCCTCTACCTGACAGTTAAATGCAGTAGACTTCAGGTGTAAAATTGATGTGAGTAGATAAGAGACACTTACAGTAGTGGCCAACTTGAAACAAAAACTTCTGATGAGTTGAGTACTGTACTGTAAAAAATTTTATGGAGAATCCTTTTGGTCTATTGCTCAGGCATTTGAAGAATGTTGGCCTCAGGTAGTCATTTTGAGCTTATAAGAACAATTTTGAATGAAATGTCTTTGTTACAGAAGAATACTTAAATTATCTGCATCCTGTCTCACAGTTGGTATGATATTGTCTCAAGGATTGGAGGGAACTTCCAGGGGGTGGGGGTCACTGAGGAACTCCCAAGGATCTGTATAAACCAGAATTTAACTTATCTAAGTAAATTTCTGCACAGACAGAGGCTAAAGTTCTAGGGTTCAGGTCTACAGTACTCAGAGTCATATGACTGTCCCACAAATACAGTATGACTTCAGTAGGTGTTCCAGTATGTATGGATGCAGCAGTAGTCCTTCACAACAGCTGCCTGAGTCTAGCCAGCAGCTGCGGTGTGAAATGTGGCATCAGCTGGGGGGCGTGTCTCAGAAGCAGCTGTTTCTCTTCTTCTTCCAAGATACTCTTCCTTTTGGTAAAGAAAGAGTAGAATGCAATTTTTCAAAATGTAATAACATAATACAAACAGTTGATAACCTCATACCTGTTAAGAATGACTTATGAGTATTCCCACTAATGTGAAGATCAGACCAACTACAGTACTCACAGCAGCCCAGGCACTTGATAAGATGTGTGTAAAGATAAAATTTCTGACTGGGGACGGAAGCTAATGAATCATGCAACTGAAGTGAACTATGCCAGCCTCACACTTCTTAGAGGAATTGACATAAGTGGTGTAGGGTGTTCTGTTAGTACTGGTGTCATCTTGGAATAGACTAGGAGTTTCTCTTGTGTTTTCCCACTTGGAGGTTAACTGAGGCTGTCAATATTTCCTCTTTCTGATGTTATTGTTTACTTTTATATTGTTATAACTTCAGAGAACATGGATGGTTGCTTCAGAAGGGGTTTAATAACTAGTTAATTCAAGTAAGATTGTTTATAATGATCAGCCTAATAAGTGTCATTACTCACACATACAAGCAGCTTCAAAACTCCATCCCAAGATACACTTCAGAAAGATGATAAAGGTTTTCATCTTTGTTTACACCACTCACTTTGACATGGGACAAGTGATTAGTTTCTCTCACTTCACTCTACTACAATACAAAGAATCATCAACAATATGTCCCAGAAGCAAATGTAACTATGAAATGTTAATAATTCTTAACAGTGATGAAGCCAAGACCAAAGAAGAGGCCTGAAGAAAGTTTAACCTTTACTGATCACGTGAAGATTAAACCCCAAAATATTTAACCAGCTTAAAGTTTAACCACCCAAAACTATCTGGGAGGTGGGGAGCCATTGTTCATGAGATACATATAGGCTAAGTTTACAGAAGGTCAGGTCTGTGGTGTCAGTCTCACTACATCGCTGATTCTTACACACCTGAGCTGCTGGTACTGGTGTTCATACAGGTCCTCCTCTTGCTGCTGCCTCATGATGGTGGCTCTCATGGTTCGCCTCTCCTCCAGCAGCTGATCCACGAGGAACCTGTGATCCAGCTGCCGGCGCCTCCGAGCCTCTGAGACCAACTGATCGAGTCGCGCCTCTTCAGCTAACACCTCAAGAAGCTGTGAAAACCCAATGAGAATTATTCTGTTACATCAACTCAACACCAATAGATCTCATGGACAACCAATGGTGTAGTTGTGGCCATGAACGAGACCATTCATAACGTTTGTCTTTGTGGATCACTTGAACATTAGCCTTTCCAGATAATTTTGGGGTGGTACAACTTCAGGCTGGTTAAGCTGAGGGGTGAAACATCAGGTGAGCACTTAGGAGGGGGTCAATCTTCAGGTGATCCATATAGGCTCACAAAACAGACACACACACATTTTGACCACAGACTAAAGGATATTTGTCAGATGAGGCTCCGTTCAAGAGAAATACCAGTAGTTTAAAAAAATGGCCAATAAAGACGGCATCTTGATCATGACGAGAAATATCTGTAATGCCGTCACTTACCATTTTCCTGTACTCTTCTTCTTTTGCTTGTTCTCTTGCTAGTTGTTCTTGTTTATATCTGAAATAAAGATCAGAGGATAAGTACCATAGCAGAAAGAGATTAAGGAAGATTTAGATCATGCAAAGATTAGCCCCTTACAGCTTTCACCTGCTATATGCAGGGGTGCAGTGCTGCCGGAGCTCACCGGGGCGCCGCTCCGGCACCTCTGTTTTGATCAATCAATCATTATTGCCAACGCCTTGTTCCCTCCCGGGAACTCCCCAACAGGGGGTGGCCATGGCAGAAGTGTCTCCAGGTGAGTTTATCCTTGCACACCTCACTTGCTCTCTCAAACACTCTTCCTCACCTTCCTGCTCTCTCTTCAACAAACTCTCTAACTCTTTTCTCCCAGGTGGCTTTACCCCTCCCAACATTCCCCTCTCTCTTGCTATCATAAACTTTTTTGTCAGCCTGTCTTCATGCATCTTCGGCACATGTCCATACCACCTTAGTGTATTCCTCTTCATCCACTCCACCACACCACACATAAGTTATAGTAAGCTCTATATCTTACTATAAATCTATATCAATCAAGCAATCAACTTTATTTTGCATTAATAATACAAAACCCAATATATCCTCATATAATTAATCTCTCCTACAGATCAACTTACATTTATGACTTATCAATATTGTAGAAAGACTTTGATAACAGGTGCACTTATAAACACTTAAAAACAGTACTTTTTCAAAAGTAGGTATGTAATTCCTCGCATAAGAGCTATAGATGTGTGAAAGTCATTGTTTTCGTCACGATTTTATCCCACTTTCCACTGTAAAACATACGTCATTTCAGCAAAAATATTACATTTCCGTGAATGCATTATATCAAGCACAGTATGAATAGAATACCATTGTAATATAACAGTATTTTAACCAAAAACTATGAAAAAAACGAGTAACTTCTCTAGAACATCGGAAGGTTAGGTAAAATGTTTTGTTTTCCTCATGTATTTTATCCTATTTCACATTAAAATACATCACGTTTCAGCAAAACTACTATTTATTTCCGAGAATATATTCATTCAGACACAGTTAAGGTAAAATATACATGTGATGTAACAGTTTTTTAACTGAAAACGATTCGAAAAACACGTGTACCATTTCACAAAAATTTCTCACACATTCCTTTACAACTAAAAACCTGAAATGTCCATGTGGCATTTAAAATCTCATGCACTGTTAAACAAATGTTAATCAAGAACTCCCCCAACAACACAATTGGTTGCATTTATAAAGTTCCTTGCAAGGAATGTAATATGTTTTACTTAGGCCAGACAGGTAATGATCTTGTAACTAGACTTAAACAACATAAATATAGTGTTAGGACAGGCCAGGAATCCAATGCTCTGTTTGTTCATTTGAGGGATAACAAGCATTGCATTGACTGGGATAATGCCTCCTCAATATTACCTTGTATTTCAATTGACAGTAGGAACATCATAGAATCTAGTCTCATTAAACATACCGAAGCATTCAACATGAATTTGAGTAATGGCATGTACAAACTGGACAATTTTGTAATTAAGAAGATTTGTAACCAGGTGAGAAGGTTGTGTCACCTTACCCTCTGACCTGATCAGCCCCATTATGGTTTAAAGACAGTAGGGCTACCTAACACCTGACCTGCTGTGGACCTGGTCTCCCACCCCTCCTCTGTATATATACACCTGCTTTTGTACTTTTAGTCTGTACTCTCACCCCTTGAAGATGTGAATTGCACCAGCGCTTGGGAATCCCCTGTTTTCTTTCTCAGGTTATCACATATACCTAGATCACGCCAGCACTTCCACAGTGATTATATATATATATATATATATATATATATATATATATATATATATATATATATATATATATATATATATATATATATATATATATATATATATATATAGAGTATATATATATATATATATATATATATATATATATATATATATAGACCTCACACTAACACTCTGGTTAACTGCATCATTAACGAACTGCCTTCCATAAGGATCTTCAATTCGGTTAACGAAAAAAAATTCGCTTAACGAACTTCTTACGAACCGACCTCAACATGTTTTCGCTTGCACTGACCGGGCAACCAGCTTTAGTATCAGTCCGCTAATACATTAATCGGTTCTAGGGCTTAAATTCCTTACTATTTTTGTAAATATCAAGAAGTTTATACTATTCAATAATTTTAAAAGTTTAATATTCAATTTTTTAGTCATTTTAACAATTATTGAACGAAATTGAAGGTAAAGTGACTAGTTTAATGCGCGGCATCCAGCCTCTTAACACAGCAAACAGGCGTCAGTCTCTCTCTGTTTTCACTGGAGGTAACATCTTGCTTGAGACTCTTCAACTAAACGCTTTTTTTCTGTGTTTCCAAGCAAATTATTGGTCATTTTGAAATATATTTTATATATTGACAATATATAATGCAGTGCAGCGTTGATTTAAAGAAAATAATCTTGAATTAAACCAGAGAGCTAAAATTTTATGGGTGAAATGGCACCATGGGGTGACTTCTCTTCCACCCCAATCCCTTCTCTCCACCCCATTCTAACCGCATCATCATCATCATCCAGGAGCCTTTCTACATACACACACACCTCAAAGTAAGTGAATCCTTTCGCACCATTTTGTTGAATTTAGGAAATTTCAAGAGCTGAACCAATTACTCCAAAACCCATTGAAACAATGGTTTCGTTATCTAACGTTTCGTTAACGAACGACCTTCTGGAACGGATTGAGTTCGTTAACCGAGGGCCACTGTATATATATATATATATATATATATATATATATATATATATATATATATATATATATATATATATATATATATATATATATATATATATATATATATATATATATATATATATATATATATATATATATATATATATATATATATATATATATATATATATATATATATATATATATATATATATATATATATATATATTATATATATATATATATATATATATATATATATATATATATATATATATATATATATATATATATATTCAGAAATTCAGTGTAATTTCTAACGCCGCACCATGGGCGATACTGAGTTTTCAAGGTCGACTGAGGAAGATAGCGCTCCTGCATGTAGTGAGAGATTTTGGAACTAGGCCTATACGATATTGAATGTAGTTTGCCAAATTAATAATGATGCGACTCATGAAGTTAAGGGACTATTATTAAATTTGAAATTATTTATTATAGATCGTTTATCAGTCTGAATAATATTACGGGTGTCCCAAGAAAGTTATTAGTTAGGCGGAAAATATGTCAAGTACGCCTAAGCTAACGCCTTGGGGAGATGCGAGGCTAGTTGGTCCTCAGTCACGAAAAGCAATCGGACAGACAGGACGTCCCTGCGCGTCCATCCACAAAAAAAGTCACGTGGTCTAGTTACCTCTGTTGCGCTATTGCAGTATAACAAGTAAGTCTCATTCGATCTCAGATAGGGGTTAGATACGGCAGTGATAAAGTTATTAAGAGCTAACAGTGAGTTAATTTCAGGGTTTCCGTCAGAACCCACTTGATTGCAAGAGATTGACGGTGGGAGATTGACTGCCGTTTGAGACTGCCGTTGATGATTGATGATTAGTGATTGTCGCAGCTGGAACGATCAGTGCAGGCTTGTCACTGGTCAGCGGGGATATCAAGGGATCTCTTGAGTGAATAAGTGCTCCCGACAACTAAAACGACACGGGACCAGCAATAGCATTGGGTGATCAGTTCTTCCACGGGTGCACAGCACCACGTGTCCTCGGTCAGCTAGAAGTATTACCTACTGGCCATAGTCACCTGCTGGCATTCTCTCTTCCTGCCCATGGATGCACTGGGAGTACACTGAGGCTATCTGAGTAAATTAATGGTCACACACTGAGACCAGGAGTCTAGGGGATACCTAGAAACTTCTTATCTCCCTTATTACAGGTGTATGTTGAGTTGGGTGGAGCATAGTTCACAAGTATTGGTGGACCCAGTAACATCTCAATAATAGTGATAATATTTTTGTGTGTAGTTAATAAAACCTTTTGAGTTACCGATATTATCTTGACGTGTGTAGTTTAATATTTCTTAAATAATTTTGATCGTATTGTTTTTTAAATGTTGTGTCACTAATTGAAACCAGAGAATGAAGGAACTGTTTTTCAGATGAGTTTTCTCCCTTATGTTGTAAGTGACACTGTGATTTAGTTCCTTTAATGCATTAAATATTTCTTTATAATTCTGATCTCAGGTATAACCGTTGTTCCCCAGAGTAGTGTTTAAGTTAGGTTAGGAAGTGCATCTGTTGGGGTAATATAATTCTATTGAGTGCCCTGAAGGCCTATTCAGGGTGGAGTTAATAAGTTCTTGTTTTTTATACCATTTTCTCAGTGCTGGATATAATTTTGGTGAGTGCCCTTAAGGCCTATTCATTGTAGAGTTATTAACTTCTTATTTTATTAATACCACTTTCTCAGTGGTTGATATTATTTTATTGAAAGCCCTTAAGGCCTGTTTCATGTGTGCAAGCAACACTTCTTAATACTTGAGTTTATTGTTGTTTAATGAGGCATTGTATGAGTTTCTAATAATTGCAATATCATGTATAACTTTTATTCCCCAGAGTAGTGTTTTAAGTTCAGGTTAGGAGGTGCGCATATGCTGGTGTACCATTACGGTACTTGATTGTGTCTGTAGTGTTGGAGGGAATATAAGTGTCAAAATTTTACAGTGTGTCTCATTCAACCCAGTCACAGATGCTATCTTTCCACGGGTCACAGACAATTCATTTTGTTTAGTAAATTTAAGTGTTCTTGTGCTGGTTCGGGATTTTTCTCAAAGGGGCGCTTCCACTGCAATTACCTTCTAATAATCTTCAATAAACCCCAAGTCAAATGAGAAATTAAAAGTCCAGAAAAATTCAATCAAGTTATATTTGCTGTATAAGTTTAACAGAAAATGACTACCTGTACAGTCCTTTAAACAAAGAAAATTAAACACTTAAGTTAAGATAATATAATTGACATTGCTGGATTCCTTGTAAGACCAGGAATATTTTGAATATAAATGTCATATATTTTACACAAAAGATAACATATTTACTCAGAGTAAACATTAGCTCTAAAATTTGTATGTCTAATGCAAAGTCTATGATGTTTATATTCAAAATGATCATCAAGCTGTAAGAATTCCAGCAATGTAAATTATATTCTGGCCGGGTAATTTGTATGAATTTTATGAGCTAAAACAAATATCTTCAGTTAATAAAAAAAAAATATTCTTCACGACACTATCTGTCAATCAAAGTACCCCAACTTGCCTCCCCCCCTCTTCCAACCGTGCCAGATGGTCGGTCGGTCCCAACCCTCCCCCCACCCCCCACCTTCCATCCCTACCAGAGAAATGTTGGGTGAAAAAACTAATTTTAACTTTTAGTAATAAATAATACCTCAAACTAAAGTTAGGATAATATAATTGACATTGCTGGATTCCTTGTAAGACCAGGAATATTTTGAATATAAATGTCATATATTTTGCACAAACATATTTATTCACAGAGTAAACATTATATCTAAATTTGTATAAGTCTAATGCAAAAATCTATGATGTTTATATTCAAATGATCATCAAATTGTAAGAATTCCAGCAATGTAAATTATATTCTGTCAGTAATTTGTATGAATTTTACAAGCTAAACAAATATCTTCAGTTAATAAAAAAAAAAAAAAATTTCTTCAACTTGCCTCCCCCCTCTTCCAACTGGGCCAGATGGTCGGTCGGTCCCAACCCTCCCCCCACCCCCCCCCTTCCATCCCTACCAGAGAAATGTTGGGTGAAAAAACTAATTTTAATCTTTAATAATAAATAATAACTCAAACTAAAGTTAGGATAATATAATTGACATTGCTGGATTCCTTGTAAGACCAGGAATATTTTGAATATAAATGTCATATATTTTGCACAAAAGATGACATATTTATTCCGAGTAAACATTATATCTAAAATTTGTATGTCTAATGCAAAATCTATGATGTTTATATTCAAAATGATCATCAAATTGTAAGAATTCCAGCAATGTAAATTATATTCTGGCCGGGTAATTTGTATAAATTTTATGAGCTAAAACAAATATATTCAGTTAATAAAAAAAAAAATATTCTTCACACCGTGCCAGATGGTCAGACGGTCCCTCCCTCCCCCACCAACCCTCCCTACCAGATAAATGTGTGGGAAAAACAGACTATTTACCTTTTTAGTAATAAATAATACTTCAGACTGAAGTTAGGATAATATAATGGACATTGCTGGATTCCTTGTAAGACCAGGAATATTTTGAATATAAATGTAATATATTTTGCACAAAAGATGACATATTTACTCAGAGTAAACATTATATCTAAAATTTGTATGTCTAATGCAAAATCTATGATGTTTATATTCAAAATGACCATCAAATTGTAAGAATTCCAGCAATGTAAATTATATTCTGGCCGGGTAATTTGAATGAATTTTATGAGCTAAAACATATATCTTCATTAAATAAACAAAGAAATATTTGAAAATACACTCCAAAATCCATGCCGGAAAACTGAAGGTTCCGGTTTATCGGTTGCCGGATTTTATATATATATATATATATATATATATATATATATATATATATATATATATATATATATATATATATATATATATATATATATATATATATATATATATATATATATATATATATATATATATATATATATATATATATATATATATATATATATATATATAGTGGGGTATGCTATAACGAATCTAATTGGTTCTAGAACCTTGTTCGTTATAGCATTCGTTCGTTATAGGATTAATCCGTTCCAGGCCCCCAAATACAACCACTTAACACTGAAAAATATAATATAAAATTGTAAAAATTGTAAAAAAGTGCATAAATATGCATCTAAACCCCTGAAATAATGAGTATCATTAATACTTGTAATAAAAAAACAATAAATTAGTAAAAAATAAATAAATAAATAAAATAAATAAATAAATAAATAATGTTCGTTGTAGGAGTTTCGTTCGTTATAGCATTCTCAATTTTATAGGTAACACCGTTCGTTATAGGAATATTCGTAGTGGGATCCGTTCGTTATAGCATACCCCACTGTATATATACAGTATATATATCTATATATATATATATATATATATATATATATATATATATATATATATATATATATATATATATATATATATATATATATATATATATATATATATATATATATATATATATATATATATACGGTTTAGGAAACGGAAATTATTTTGACAGCTCCGGCACCTTAAAAATTGGCACTGCAACACTGGCTATATGTACGGAAGGTGTGGTTAAGTTAGGATTATGTCTGGTTATGTTATTTTACGTTAGGTAAGGTTTAGTTATGTTAGGATAGATTAGGTTAGGTTAGTGTGAGGGAGTTTAATCAACTGGTGAAATATGCTACATATATCCACACTTTCAGCCAGGCTCGTACTTCATAACATATATAACGGACTAAAAATTTCCCTTAAAAGAGTGAAAAATATCTCAAAAGATCCATCATTAAGGATATTTTGCCAGTCACATGAGGGTTTAAGTACTGGTAACATAAAGCACACATAACAACACAACACAAATGCCTCCACTTACTGCAGTTGGCTATCCCATCCGTTCTTCAGGTTAATTCTCGATGCTTCCTCCCGCCGTTGCTTTTCTTCCGCGAGTTTCCTCTCCTCGACTTGCTTCTCCAGCAGCTCCACTTCCAGACGTGTGTGACGAAGAACCTCTTTCTCTTGCTGTTAGTTAAAAGTGATATAAAAACTTAAATCCCCCAAAACAACAGCAGATTATTCTTTACGCTGCACCAATGGCAAAAAATAAATCATGAACGAATCATAATATTTTTCCCAGCTGTATATATAAATAATTTAAACCCTGCTTATTAATACTGATTATCTGACGCATTAATATAAACACATAAGATGCCAGGTGTCGTAACAGACCTGCTCCATCTCGAGTTGCTTCACGAGGGCCAGCTCTCGTTGGTTCTGTTGCAGCCTCACCATCTCTTCCTCTTGTCTTCCCAACTCCTTCTTCAGCTCAGCTCTCAAGTTATATTCCTCTGTTGCCCTGAAGAACCAAATATATAATTTAAGGGAGTTTGGTGTATTCATTTAAATACTGTAATGTATACTCTCTCTCTCTCTATAATGTAATTTCCCTCCTGTCTCACTTAACCCTTAATTACTAGCTAAGTTTTGCCTACTCTTCTCCACATGTTCGAAAATGGAATGCAAGGAACATGAAACACCACTGATTAATGTCTGTTGCTTGAAGGTTATATATAAGGTGCTTGAGGGTTAAATTTGACCACCTCAAGAGAACTTTTAGCCACTGATAAGTTGTTCTACCACCAGCAGCATACTCACTATACAGTACACTAGTTAGCATACAAGGCGTGAACCCAATCCTTTACTCAAATCAGGGATCAAACCCATGGCCGCCACATGTGAGATGAACACTGAGCTATGGAACCACACTTATTATTCATAAAATAATTGAGTGAATAATTTAAATCATACATTATAGATATATATAAATATGACTGATCATCCTTCATGCCAACCTTGTCAGCTTCCTGTCATCAAGATCTCGCTCTTCCTGCTGAAGTTGTTTTAGCCGACTCTGCGTCAACAGGAACTGACGACTGAGTGTGTGAGACTTGTGCTTCTTTTTCAACTGCCTTGAGAGGGAGAGAATTACTACTGGTAAATGCTGAATCATGGACAGCAGTAAGCATTTAATTATTCTATAAACATTCAAAATCTAAAGACAAATGACACAACAAAACATTTAAGTTTACCATTATATAATAGCTCCTTACAGATTAGTTTCATTTACAAATAATTAAGTAAAATAATACACTATGTATGAGTTATCTGGTTCAAGTTGGTCAGTGAGGCTGATGAACAGTGCTGTGCAACTCACTCTTCTCTCTCCTGATTCATGACTCTGACTTCGTCTACCTCAGACATCATGGCTATGGTCTTCTCAGCTTCTGCCTTTGCCTTACTTGCAGCTTTCTCAGCAATTTGTTCCTTTAGTACCTAATTAAAATAACAATATCAGTTAGAATGTCTATCAGGACCTATACATTTCAACACCTGTCACTCAAACAATTTCTGAAACAATACACAACTTGCCCTTTGTGTCTCCAACCTCCTGGCTCGTATTTCAGTGTCTGTGATGGCTGCAGACATAACTTCTTCACAGTCCAATTTCTCCAAGAGTTCAGCATATTGTTTGTCCTTAGCCTGAAGAAAAAGAGGAAAAAATCGATATTATATACTTTATTAATTAACAACTATGTTTTCAGACCAGGATGCTGAAGATAATGAGGTAATTTTGTTTCCTCTTGTGGGGTCATCTGAAAATTAGCCCCAGCTTATATCACCTGAAGTTTCACCACCCCTAATGTTATCTGGTGGAGTTAGGTTAGGTTGGTTTATGTTAGGTTAAGTTAATAAATGGTTTAGTTAGTATTAGGTTAGATTAAGAAGGGTTAGGTTAGGGTGGATTAGGCTAAGTTTGTTAAATTAGTATTGGGTGAGTTTAAGTTAACATTAGGGTAGTTAATCTTCAGGTGAATTAAGCTAGAGGGTTAATCTTCAGGTGAATTAAGCTGGAGGGTTAATTTTCAGGTGATCCGTCTTCTGTTTTAGAGAAAGAATAGACCGGTCATTTTCCAACAGTGAGAGTCTACTGTACATAGTGGACGAGGGGCACAAATATGATGTGGTATATCTCGACTTTAGCAAAGCCTTCGACAGTCCCCCACGAAAGACTAATTAGAAAGGTAGAAGCACATGGTATCAAAGGTAATATCCTTAAATGGATCAGGGCGTGGTTACGGGACAGGAAACAGCGAGTGAGCATAAACGGCACTAAATCGCATTGGAGCAACGTCACTAGTGGAGTTCCCCAAGGCTCAGTACTTGGACCATTATTATTTATTATACTGTATACATAAACGACATAGATATCGGCATAGACAGCAACATAAGTAAATTTGCTGATGACACTAAAATAGGACGTGCAATTAAATCTGACGAGGACTCTGCAAAAGTACAGGAAGATCTAAACAAATTTTTTGAATGGTCAGAATAATGGCAGATGAAATTTAATGTGGACAAATGTAAAGTACTCAGTATAGGAGATGTAAACAGGGAAACCAGTTACCAGATGAACAACGATGCCATTGTGGAATCCGACTGCGAGAGAGATTTAGGAGTAATGATAAGTAAAAATCTTAAGCCAAGTAAACAATGTGTTTTTGCTCGTAACAAGGCTAATAAAGTACTTGGGTTCATACAAAGGAGTGTTAGTTACAAGAGTAGCGAGGTCATCCTAAAACTGTATCTTGCTCTTGTGAGACCTCACCTGGATTACGCAGTTCAGTTCTGGTCACCGTATTACAGAATGGATATAGAATCCTTGGAAAGAGTTCAGAGGAGAATGACAAGACTAATCCCGGGCATTAGGAACTTTGAGTACAGAGACAGGTTAAAGCATCTTAATTTGCACTCCCTCGAGAGACGTAGAGTGAGGGGCGATATGATAGAGGTGCATAAATGGAAGTCAGGGTTAAGCAGAGGGGACATTACAAAGGTACTCAAACTATCCAACCAGGAGCAAACTCGTAACAATGGTTTTAAATTGGACAAATTTAGATTTCGGTGTGAAATAGGTAAACAGAGTAGTGGACGAGTGGAACAAGTTACCAAATATCATCATTAACTCGAATACGCTGGATAGCTTCAAACATAGGTTGGATGGATATATGAGCAACAGGGGTTGGGTATAAACTGGACTGCCCAGTATGGGTCAATAGGCCCACTGCAGTTTCCTCCATTCTTATGTTCTTATGTTTTATATAATTTTCTCTTACTATCACAAGTATTATAAGTCAAGCTACAGTGCATATAAATGCATCCAAAGTGAGAGCCAAATTAAGTGAAACCTCTATTTAACAGACTATATGGAACGGAAAGTCCACTATATCGAGGGTCCGTTAGTTGTAAAAATCCCTGAATAACAGATTATATGGAGAAAGAAGTATATTATATGGAGGTTTCATTGTAATAAGAAAGAAGAAATGGGTCTTACATTTGATAGTTTCCGCTGGGCATCCTTCTCGGCAATGGCTGCACTGTTGTCACGGGTCAAGGCACATGCATGGATTTTGGCTTCTAGTGCTCTCAGCTCAGGACTCGAGGACATGATCTGTCGCCTGGGGGAGAAAATAATTTTTATCAAAGTTAACATCTACCTTTACTAACACCTTCGACAAAAAGCCACATATGAAGCAACAGAGAGATGGTTTAAGGTGAAATGAGATGGCGTTCACCTCCATGATCTTAACCCAATAAAGAAGTTATAGAACAAAAACATATAAGTGAATTATTGTATTATCATTAACTACCTGGCATTACATTACTTAAAGTAACCTACAATATAATCATCATAGTTCGTTTACCTTAAGACAGCTGCATTCCACATGTTCTTCTCCATAATTCGTAGTAAATCACGAGTGTGTTAAGTAAGTCGTAGTTCCTCATGTTCTTTGTTTGCTTGACGCCCTTTAAATTTGTTGACGCCAGGCAAATATTACACTGTTAAAATAGTACCACGAACATTACCAAACATATATTTTTTCTTGACAATATTAGTCACCATATATAAGATCCTTAAAATAAAACTAAATTTAATTATTTAGGAATTTAAGTTTAGTTAGGTTCTCTAAGGTCTGGTAATTTAATGTTTTTTTTTAATTGTTTAGTGCGTTAACTAGTATGTCGTGAAGTATTGTTAACATCTAGTTATCGTTTTCCAAGAGAAGATTATGTTTCGGTGCTATCTTAACTACGGGTTGTGTAACATACTTTAAAGAACAATTTATTTCGAAATATATTGTTTAAGGACTAAATTAGCTCATATATTAAATAAAAAATTGCATTACATCATAAATAAATTGATAAATTAGAAACTGTCGCTATAAATAAACCAAAGACTATATACGGCTTTGTGAATAAACAAACAACACTAACACTCCTGCCATCTAGTGTCATAATTAATAACTAAAACAAGCGTCACTGTCAGGAACAACTTACACCTCTTGGTTAACAACACAATGTTTACCTTAGGAGGAGAGTAGTAACCCTGAGAGGAATAGTTATAGCCATCTACTATGGTGTTCTCGTCGTAAATAATCACCGTATGGATGGAAAATTGTAGCTGTTAAACTATTAATAAAGTGTAAGTAGAGATGATAGTAGGAGGAGGTAGTTAAGATGATACAGTGTGTTGCCATCTCAATAATGGGATGTGTTGCACCACTTGAAGTAACAAAGACCGAATAAAAGAGCATTGAGAATATATATTGTGGTGAAAAGTTTCAGAAAGTTTTATGGGTTGTTTTTGGTATTAGTTGAGAATTGAAGGCTTAAGTGCACGTTATAATGAAATTTTGTAGAAGGAAAATCAAGATTGATTGTTATGATATTTTTCTTGAAGTATTCTAAGTAACTTTATCATCAAAAATATAATCTATAGAGATTATCTTGATATATATATTACAAGTTATTTAGATCTTGGGAAGGCTGAAGCAGTAATATTTCGACTTGAAAAAATAAATTAAGCACATAGATTCCTCATTGCAAAGTTTTTAATCCTTTTCTTGGGCTATACTTTGTTGATGTACTGTTTACCAATGTTTGTATACATCTGTCGGTGTATATCTTGAAGCAATACTGACAACTTGTATGACAGTAACTTTAATTTTAGTTATTTGAATATATTAAGGAATCTGTGTTCATCTCTTCAGTGAATTCACAGAAACCATCTCGTAATTCTCAAATTTTAACAGGATTGAACTTCTGACTATTGAACTGCTAAACTTGAGTGACTTGTTCTTGCTAAACTCAGGAGAAAGATAAACAATAGTTTAATAATATATTGTCTTTATTCCTTAGAGTTCTTGATTCTGTGGAAGCTCCTTTGGCTGAGAACTAAACACCTGTATTGTGGGAGGTGGAAAAATATTGAGTAAGTGTGATGATTTTTTACCCCAAGAGATTTGAAACATTTACGTAAAGTTCAGGTAAAATATTCATTCAAGTGTTTTGTTTATCTACTAGACTGTGATGCTGTACTTCATAGTTTTTATCACTGGTTTAGAAAATTGGAATAGAACTCCATTAATTGATATAGCTTTATCATTATTTCACAGATCCATCATGGAAACCCAAGTGATAGAAAGGCATCCTTCATGGCAGACTGAAGGCACAAGTGGTGACAATACAAGTGGTGACAGTAACTTACAGGCAGTTGCTGATGATCCTGTATCAGATGAAGGACATGTCTCTGGTCCTGACATGGAGAACACAATGCCTGTGATGTCTTCCTCCTCCTCCTCAAGCATCCTCCACAGTCTGTTGAGTGGAGACAATAAGACCGTGACAGGCGACAGTAGTACTCGCTCTATAGCTCAGGACCTACAAGACCAGGACGATGAACTTAGAGCTCTCGGGATCTCGGTGGTTGATCAGCTGTCTCTGGAACGTGATGTTGAAGCTGCAGTGAGTTACCATCCTTGCCTTTTGTTTTGGGGATCGTGTTAGTCGTGAGTTATTTCTTTTACATGGAATTCTTGTCTTATGGGGGAAAAGGGGGATATATTCATGGTTCTGAAACCTTTGGTACTGGCCTTCCCAAAATTCCACTTTTTACTAGAAATAAATGCTTTAAAGGGTCGTAGAATCTTAGATGATTATTTAACATTACTCAACTTTCTTATGCCATTGCACTCGACTAAACACAGGTATATGTACAGTCACTCAAAACCTATCTGTACTTGGGGTGACCGATGAATTTCAGAATGAACACTACAGCTCCTGTTGTCTCGGTAGGGTTGTCAAAATCCTTCATCCGTTGTCATATTTTCTCAACACAGTTTTTTAAAGATAGTTTTTTGAGTGACTGTATGAGCATTCCTTGATTTACAAAAAGGTTCTGTTGCTGTAAAACTCATTGCGAGTTGATGTATGCCGATATAGTTAATATATACTCATAATTGAAAACTATACACAGTACTGTACTCAGTCTGTTAACACACCTCGGGCAGTATGTGTACAAAGACAAACTTTTTAAGATTTAGAAAAATTTATGCTCAAGTTCTCAATATACAGTCCCTTTTCCTATCATGCTGCCAGTTCAAGGTGGCCACATATCATTCCACTTTCTTGTCTCATCTTGTCAAATGAGTGTTTGGTTACCATCCAGGAAAGTGTGTTGTTACTTGTCATTTATCTCCAGTTTTGATCACATATTAGTCTTTCTAGTACAGTATTTTGCTTTATGATAAAGATAACAAGATTCATTCCAGCCAATTATATATATATATATTTTTTCAGTATAATAATAACTTGTGTAGCTAACTAATAAATTTGATATAATTTTATCTTATGTTTATGTATTGTAGTATTGCAGGAAGTAAGTTCAACATCTTTTGGCAGGTTGACAAAGCAGTAGCCAAGCACACACGCAAACAGCGACTACAGATTCTGAAGAAGGAAATCAAAGACATCAAGACCAACATCAAACAGGGAGAGAACAAGTTAAATGACCTAAAGAACAGGCTGTCAGGTAGAGTGGACTGCTAAGGCCTGGAGAACCTCATTAGTTGTCTCTGTGTACATGTGGTTTTATTGACTGTCCTATTGTTATATTTGGATAATTTGAAGGAATTTTTTGTTGTTGCTCATCTTTCTCAACAGTTGTGTCCTTCCTCCGAGTTGAGCTGCTTAGGTAATTTTCATCAGACTGTCTTACAGTCTGCGCGGAATGTTAGTTCATGTGCCGAAAAAATATTGATATTTACGATTATGTTATATAAATAAAGTCAAGTAACACTTACCACTTCAATTAATACTTTGTAGTGTTTCCTCTGCGCTTCAGACAGTCTTTTAGCCTTCGAGGAACACTGTCAGCAAGGTTTTGCAAGAAGTCAGGTGGCAAGTTAGCCCAGGTATCCTTGATGGCTGCCTCTAGCTTCGGGATTGATGATGTGTCAGCGTCGCGCAGACGACACTTAACAATGGACCACAAATTTTCTATTGGGTTAAGATCTGGGCTACTGCCAGGCCAGTCATTAAGGAAAGGTACCTCAGTCTTTGAGCCACTGTATGACACTTTTAGCAGTGTGGCATGGGGCACCGTCCTGCATGAAAAGGCTTGCCTTAGCTTTATCAAATGATTCAGGTAAGAAATCACTGAGCAGTTCAAGATAGTTGTACTGATTCATCATCTGGTTCTTAGGGAGGATTACTAGTTCACCAACACCATAATACGTAAAGGAAGCCCAAATCATAAGCGAGGCAGGGTGCTTAACAGTGTACTGTGGGAGGTGCGCGTCTGAGTGGGGGGGACGGTACACCCTCCTTCCATTACTCCCAGTCACAGAAAACGTAGCCTCATCCGACCATAATACACTCCTCCATGTCTCTAAATCCCACACTTCATATTTCTTGCAAAATTTCACTCTATTTTCCTTCTGTCTCTTTGTCAACAGAGGTTTACGGCGGGCACGAAAGCTCTTAAATCCCAGGTCATCGTGCAGGGCTTGTTGAACACAACGTAACGAGACGTGACTCAAAAGACGGGTGTTTCTCTCTTTCACTTCATGTGCTGTGAGTGAGGGATTGGACCGAACTTGTCGAGAAATAACCTTAAGTGTCCGTGGAGACAATAATTTAGGCCTACCAGACTTAGGTAATGGAGCTGGTAACTCGTCCTCTCCAAGGTCACGGAAACGTTTGACAAGATTTTGAACAACTCGTAATGCCACACCAGTCTGAGCCGATATTTCTCTCAGTACATGGTTCGCTTTGTACAATGCAATCACTGCTGCAATATCGTCTCTTGTAGTAACCCTCCTGGACATCTCTGATGGCCACTATGTTGGGTTAATGCACCTTAAACTAGACAAAACATGGCCACCTGGCGCGGGAACCCGCACTTGCCAACAAACCAAGCGTTTTGGCATTCGCATCCCAGGACAGGCTTCACAACATATGATCTTATTTTTGCGAGAACTTAGTTCGTCGGCCCTATCGCGACTTAACATTCCGCGCAGACTGTATATGTGCCTTGTGACTGTTTCATCAGTATCAGTCTGTAAGTGTTCAACCTAACCATGCTAGGTTAGGTTAAAGTTTGATTAGAGTTAGGTAAAATTAGGTTAGGTTAGAATTAGATTAGAATTTGGGTAGGTTATACAGTCTGACCTCGCAAATTCGTGTCTCAGAAGTCCGTTTTTCTGCAAATCCGTGCATTTTCATGAGTGTTCCCTAATTACCGTGTTTATCGCTTGTCCGTGCTCGTTTGAGAACAAAATCAAATCAAATCATTACAATACTGTACTCTACTGTGGCTTAGAAATAAAGAAAATATAAAATAAAACTATAAAATAAGAACAATGGAGATCATGAGTGTGTACAGTATGTGTGGGAAGTGAATGTACTGTATGTATTGAGGCAGTGGGCTGTAACTGTTTTGCTGACTTGCCAGCCCAGAAGCTAGCTGCCGCTGAGCCGCAATGCCTTCCCCGTGTGACGTCATGGCATACACATAGCGCAGCATGACTGCAGCCACACCTCTCTGAATTAGCTGGGTCGCGCATCACCAGTCGTAAAAAGTACCAGACTTCGTTACTTAAGAAAAAGTATTGTTGCATTGGTAAAATGTTACTCAAGTAGAAGTAAATTATTAATTGTCTCAAATATTAAAGTAAATCCACAATACGTAAATTAAAGAAAAAACTAGTTAACTAAATATGAAAATAAAAGACAGCATTACGAGTGTTTATTTGCAAATCTTTCTATTGAGGTTAATCAGTAACTGATTCTCAAAATTATGGCTGTCCAATTGAGATCTTTTAGGCCTAAATATAAGCCCAGCATGACTAAACAAGTGCTCACAAGCAGCAGACGTGAAGAAACGCTTGTGATTGGTTAGCTTCCAAGTTTGTCCTGTGTCCTGTGATTGGCTATTTTAAAATTCCATTGTTTGGGGCATGTAACGATTAACGATTTTTGTTTTTTCTATTATATTGGTGTAAAAGTATTAAAATACCCTACTTAAGAAGTAAAAGTACCCAAAAATGTTACTTGAGTACAGCACAGCTCCTCCCCGACTTACGACCACCCGCACTTACGACCTGCTTCAGTCGTACCAAAATCTGGTCAAATTACGTATTTTCGAGTCCCAAAGTCAGTACACAGACAAAATTTTTGTTTGTAATTCACTTTAAAATGGCTGGCAAGCTTAAAAGTGAGAGTTTTGTGCTGCTGAGAAGAAAAAGACACATACCCATTTTATATTTTCTATGTATTATTTAAGCATTTCCGACTTACGACCTGGATTTGGGTCCCTCACCCCATCTTAAGTCGGGGAGGAGCTGTACTTAAGAAAATTTACTTACTCTGCACATCACCCAGAGGATGGTTTGAGTGTAGAAGGAACTATTTTTTTAACATAAAATATGTACTATTGTATTTTATGGTATGCTATGAATCAATTGTTTATCATAGCAATCTTTTAAATTTTTGATGTACTGTATGCAATTCTAAATTTGTTCAAATAAAGCTAACCTTGGGCTCACTAAATCATTGAACTGTGAACCATATAGTTAATATAGAGTGGAATAAGTGTTAACAAACTGTCTCATGAATATGGTATTGGAGTCTAAGTTTGAAACAATAACGATTTATTATACAATTAAATTTAGTTTCTTAGCATTTGATTCAAAAATTTTCCTGTGCTTTTAATGTTTATTCCGCAAATCGGTGCCTTTCGGAAATTCAGCCACAGTACGAAACCAATTAGCATGAATTTGTGAAGCCTACCTGGAGTTAGATTATGTTAGGGTAGATTAGTGTAGGTCACGTCAGATTTGGTGAGGTTAGGTTAGGGTTTGACTAGAGTTAGGTAATGTTAGGTTAAGTTCGAGTTAAAATAGAATTTGGTTAAGTTAGGGTAGATTATGTTAGACATGTACCTTGCAGCCAGTTAGGTCTCATAATACAGAGTGCTTTATGAGGGATTTTCCATTCTTAAATAACCCAAGAGATAAGATTTTAGGATCATTCTTCGATTTTATTGTTGTGATAGAATGCAACATGATTTTTAAATGTGTGTGTGTTTGTGTGTAAATCGAGAGGTCTTCGCCATCAGTTCATCTATGAAAAGTTTCTGTGTTTATCACGAAGGAATGCGGCAGCGAGTGGTCGACCCCCGGATGGCCATTGGTGTTGAGGTGGAAGTTCGGGATAAAACTCAGCAACTTAAAACCCTCACGACACGAGAGAGAATCCTACAGCAGAAACTCGAGTCGGCTGAAGTGAACGAGGCAGAGGTAATATGAGCAAGTTATTGTCACTACATCTTCTGTATCTAAGGCTCTTTATTCTTTAACCCCTTCACCAAGGGGACGCCAGCTTTAATATTTAATTTGACTAATGCCAGGTGACTTCGCCCAGCTCAAAGGCGACACCCCGTACATAAGGGGTTCGTGGTATATTGTGGTTGTTTCTTGAGGGTTGTAGAAAGGCTGAAGGTATTCATGGTAAGGAGTCTGGAGGTGTTAATGCCTTGTACAGTCTTGCAAAATTTTAGGTTTTAGTCTTTAAGGTGTTTCATTGTTACTAAAACTGCTGATTTTACACAACTTATGGTGTGGTCGCTTAAGTTTGTCCACCAGTTGGCAGATTGAGCTTTATCTGGAAGCATATTCCGGTGTATATATTTCAATAATCTTAAGTACTGGAGTCTGTGTACACAACATCTTTGGTGAGTTTCTAAAGGTAAGGTCCTGCTGTTTATACTTTATCATAAGTGTGCACCGGCTAGACTTCTCAGATAGGCCTTATTGATGACCTATTCTTGAGGGTATTTGTGAACCTCTTTATAAAGGACATTTAAAGCTGTACCATTGAGTGACTTGGTGGGTGACATGCATTAAGCAGTTTAGTATGAAGGTCATGAGCTTTTTTGGCAACACTTTAGAAGTTTTTAAAACTTTCTCTAGATTTTGCTGTTGGAAGCTGCTGAGTATATGGGTAATGTAATTCTTTACTTGAAGCTTATTAGTGTAGTGAGCAGCAGCGGTACAAGACAGTGATTACTACTTTCAGCTTGACAATTTGGACCTGGAGGATGGAGAGATTCTGGACGACGAGAGCGAGGACGGTGAAAGGGATCAAAATGTACCCAAATTGTCGGAGAATGAAAGAGACAGACTCATTCGTAATGGTCAGATGACGCCCTTTGGAACAGCTATGACCTCCACGGCCAGCAGGACGGTATCTGTGCGGCCGACTCACAGACCACTGGAGAAGCGGCCGGTGGTTGGAGCTGTGCAGGAGCAGTCAATCAAAAAAAGACCAACTAGAGCAGAAATGATCAGTTCTGGAGACATGACTCCATTTGGCTCAGTTGTCAAGATGGCTGAGAGCAGCTCTACAACAACCATCAGGTTTGTTGTCATTTTTCTCTAATTGCTCTTGTTTTGCATTAATTATTCCTTATCAGTTCACTAGAAATTTTAATTAACCATGTTAGTGGACAAATACTGGGCTAGAACAGAAAGATTAAGGATGAACTTTAGATCACCAGACGATTAACCCTCCTAGCTAATTGTTCTTGATGTTTAACCATCCTAGCACTACCAGGCAGGTTAGGTTAGGTTAGCATTATGGTGTTTAAATGGTCAGGTGAAATAAACTAGGGAGGCTAAGCTTCATGTGATCCAAAACCTTTATAGTCATCTCCTGTTTAAGTAAAGTGATTTGGTCAGACTCCTGTAGTTTGGTGGTCGTCGAGGTGACTGATGTGAGTTGAGAGTTAGTTACCATTAGTAATTAGTATAACCAAACCTAAGCCTCCCAGGTAACATGAAGGTGGTGTCTAATCTTCAGGTAGTCTGTTTTATTTCTGTTGTTGCTATGGAGTACAACGCCAAAAACTTAAAAAATATATATTTTCCAGATCATCAGACAAACCTCAGGGAGTTTTTAGTGACTTTGAAAAATACCTCAAGGATCAGATCGATCGACAGAAGCAACACAGCGAAGTTAATAAGGGAATCAAGCGCAAGAAAACGTCAGGAGACCCAACGTATGGTATAGCAAGGAAGAGAAAAAGAAAAATCAAAGAATATGTCAGTGAGTTTGATGACGTGGGGAATGATGATGATACATCGCTCTCATCGATAAAATCACAAGTCAAGGCAGGATTAGAGGCAAAGATGGACAAAACTCAGGATGCTGAAGGAGGGAAGAAAAAATCAAGAAAAGATCCACTAAAGGTGAGAATATTACATCCCAAGAAGAAGAAGAAGACGGAAACGGTGTCTGGGAGCGTCACCAGCCACCGTGAAGCTGACCAGTATAAAGAGACGCCTCGTAGGATCTTATCTGAGAGAGTTTGTTTTCAAGGGAGCGACTCTGAAGACTTCGATGCTGGAAGTGGGTCTGAATATGTGCCGTCAGATCCTGATGATGTTGATGATCTTGACGATGAAGTTTGTGATGACTCTAATGACGAAAATGCCAACTCCAAGGCGTTGAAAGGTAATCGCGTGGAGAAGATGGATAAAGCTGTGAAAAGGCAAAGAAAGAAGAAAGATAAGCTCGAAGAAGATAATTGGTCAGACGATGATGTGACGAAAAGTAAAGGACGAAAGTCTTTAAAGTCCAGAGACGATGGAAATATAGATGACTATGTTAAAAGGATTGAAAATTGGAAGGAAGAAAGACTTAAGAGGAAACAGAGGAAGATAATAGAAGGGGAAGATTTAGACTCGGAGGAGGAAGAGGAAGAAGGATATGAAGAATTTGACGGAGGTTTCAAAATTCCTCTAGTAATCTGGAACAAGTTGTACAAGTATCAGCGGACTTGTGTCAAGTGGCTGTGGGAACTTCACAGTCAGGGATGTGGCGGGATCCTCGGCGATGAGATGGGACTGGGAAAGACAATTATGATAATATCCTTTTTAGTGGGGCTGTCGTATTCTCGTCTGAGCAGTCGTCGGCAGCCGTGGAAGGGTCTGGGGCCCGTGTTGATCGTGTGCCCAGCGACAGTCCTGCACCAGTGGGTGAAGGAGTTCCACAAGTGGTGGCCACCGTTCAGAATTGCTGTCCTGCACGAGTCTGGCACTTTTACTGGGAAAAGACCTGCTCTTATCCATAATATTAATAAGTAAGTAAATGTTGGTGTTTTCTTATGATCTTAATAATTTTAATTGTAGATACGTCAGAATATTGTTATGTAGTCTTGTATTTTATATTTCTGTTTAGGGACTGGATTATCAGTTTGTGGGAAGGGAGGTTTCTCTCATCACCACTCCACCTCCTCCTCCCTGCTGGGCCTGGGTCGTGTGACATGCTGCTTGTAGTTCAACCCTTTGGTTACGAATTAACGTTAAGTGAATTAAAGCTGAAGGATGATTAGCTATAAAGCAATACCACAAACTGAGGCTTTGTGTGTCCTTATGGTGTCTGTAACAGTCATTTTTTAAAGTTTTTAGTTTATAAATCTTTAGTCATTACAGTAACTTACTTAAGTGTTCAGAGGGTAAATTATTATTATTATTTTTTTTTAATTAAGTTTCCATTGAGATCATGCCCCTTAGATCCTTACAAAGATACTCCTGATATTTAAGGAGTAAATTATTTGAGAATAGTTAAGGGTATTGATGCAGTTGTTCAATTATTTTAGTATAGTGAGTGTGAAAAGTTTAATAATCAATAATAAACTCCTTTTCCAACACCTGAGGTACTGCGGCATCCTAGTCACCTCATACACAGGAGCGCGCGACCAGTTTGAGACACTGCGTCAGTATGATTGGCATTACATCATTCTTGACGAGGGACACAAGATTCGTAACCCTCAAGCACAAATTACTCTCGCACTCAAGAGGTTTCAGAGCCCACATAGACTGATCCTCTCTGGTATGTTTCAAACTGTGTAAATAACTTTTGTATGGAACCAGGTGAAGATTAGACAGCCAGGCTTCTTTAACATTACCTGGACCAGTTAGGTTAGGTTAGCATTAGGTTAAGTTAGGCTAGCATAAGGGTATTTAATCATCAGGTGAAATAAACTGGGTGTCTTAATCTTCATGTGATCCTACTTTTCTTGTTAATATATTCCTCGGTGAAACATTATAGTGAAGGATTGTTGTCATTTCACTTTGCCTCACTAACACATATCATTGCATAGGTTCACCAATCCAGAACAGCCTGAAGGAGCTGTGGTCGCTGTTTGACTTTGTGTTTCCTGGTAAACTGGGAACACTGCCGGTCTTCTTGCAGCAGTTTGCCGTGCCCATCACTCAAGGGGGATATGCCAATGCTTCCAAATTAGAGGTAGACATCACACCAGATCTCTTGTTTTATTTGTTTATTTTAGTAGTTTAATTGATGTATGGAAGTAGTGGTATTGGCTATAAGACTTTGGAATAACCTGAAAATTAGTCCTACCTCCCATATATTGCCTTAAAATTAATCACCCTAATGCTAACCTAACCTAATCCTCCCCAGATAGCATGAAGGTGTTTAATCATCAGGTGAAATAAGCTGTGGGGGGCTAATCTTCAGGTGATCTGAGGTGGTGTAGATGATGACAGACAAGTGATGGCCTCACCGCACAAAGCTGCCATAACACCAAGACTTGTAGCTCCCAGCCATGAGCGGTAATGATAGTTGCCTCCAGACATCTTTTTTTATGGGAGAGTCATAGTAATTGTTGTATTAGTATCATTTGTTAGTGCTGGAGGAGTCTGGGTGATGAACCATACTCTCTGTCCTCACTTAACTGTGGAAGAGGATTTTCATGATCAGTCAATTTCTAGAGGAAGGTATTGAAATTCTTGGGTAGATTCTTTAAATATTGTTTTGCTTTTTGTGTGAGAAATTGCTGATGTGAACATTGAAGTTAGTGGGTACTAAATAAAATAAGTAATGTCTTGATTTGAAATACATGTTGTGTTGTACATTATAGGTACAGACTGCATTCAAGTGTGCCTCTGTGCTCCGTGACACCATCAACCCTTTCCTACTACGCAGAATGAAAAATGATGTGAGGAATCATCTTAATTTACCTGATAAAAATGAACAGGTAAAATAATTATGAGTGTAATGCATTGTAGCATATCTAATAAGAAAATCTTACATATTGACACTGGAGTAGAATGGTACAGGTGGTCTGTATATCATTTTGTCACTGAAATCTGTTTTAGTGTTTGTCTCTTCAGATTTTCCAAGAAGTTCTGAAATTTATCATGATAGTATGCCAGTAATATTACTACCTCTACTACTACTCCTATTCTGTAATTGGTTGTTTTGGTTCTTATAATCAAGTCATCCCTGCATCCTGAAGTCTGTTTCAGTTTTTTTGTCATTGTAGATAATGTGACAAGTGCAAACAGCACAAATTGGTATGTTAATCTTCGACATGTGCAGTACTTTGGTCATAGTGGATGGCTAGCAAATGGAATCTTTCACTAATGAGGTACACTTCAGTTTGTGTTGGTAGATAGATTCCCTGAGTAAGTTGAGAAGTAGTTAATGATGTTGTGTTTATTACCATTCCCAGGTGCTGTTCTGTGGGCTAACTGAAGACCAGAGGAAAGTTTACAGGGATTATATTGAAGGAGACCAAGTGAAGTGGATCATGGGTGGTCGGATGAAGGTAACACACTGAGGAACATGTACTTACTTGAAGGAATCTTGGACATTGTAGTATGAAATTGTTGGAACACAGTCAGATTTGTTTTACTGTGATAAGACCTTCGGAAACACACCTAAAGTTGTTATTAAACCTTGACATTACAGGTTTTTGTTGGACTAATTAATCTTCGTAAGATTTGTAACCATCCGGACCTGTACACAGGCGGACCAAATACTGATAATGGTGACTGGAATTCTGGCCTTCAGGTTAGTGTGAGTTTGTAAGTCTACATTATGTTGAGTCTTTCTTTTGTGCTTCTTGTTAATATTATCATTACCTTGATAAGTCCAGAACAGGATTTTGGAATCACTGTAGCTTAGTCCCTCAGCTTGTTTCACACAATGATTAAACACCATAATATACTGATCTCACCTAATTTTATGTACCTTAACCTAATCTTGAGGAGAAATAAGCTGGGGGCTAATCTTTAGGTGATCCCTTATTTGTCTAGTAATTATGTTAATGGTTGATATTAAAATCTAGAAGAAGCTACTGCTGTGCTGTACTGTACATGGTCACAAACAGAACAGGTTGTGTCTTACAGTACTGTATAAGAGGTACTCAAAATCATATACAGAGTATATGTAATAAAATTGACTAAGGTGCATGTCCTCTTGATGATCTAACAGCCAGAGTTGAAGTATGGGTGGTGGAGTCGGTCTGGCAAGATGCACGTGTTGCACGCCATCCTGCATCTGTGGTCACGTCAGGGTCATCGCGTCTTACTCTTCACTCAGTCCCGTCAAATGATGTGTATCCTCGAGAAATTCCTCGTGGAGGAGCACTACACCTATCTGAAGATGGATGGGTGAGACTTCTGTTGTGTATCTTGGCTAATGAGTTGAAGGAAGGATGAGTGCATTGCTTATCATGGTTTGAGAGTTAGTTGATGGATGAGTGTATTGCTTACCTTGATTTGTGAGTTGCTGGTGGTGTGAACATTGTTATAACTACTTGAGGTATCTTAATAAGGTTTTTAATGATACTTACCAAGAGCAAGACAAGCGACAAAGTGACTCGAGTTGTTTTTATGATACCGTTATAATCTTCATTTTTATTATTATTATTTACTTTCATCACTGGTCTGCCTCTCATACAGAATACCCTACATTACTGTTATTAGCCTAAGCATAAATTTTTTGGTGTTGAATGTATACCACTAATATTCTCACTCATTAAAGTGTGCTCTGTCTTATTTGGTTGTAATGTCTTTGATAGGTTGGTGTTGTGTAATATTTTCTTTGAATGTTTGTGTTATTATATCTTCTTTGAATGATGCAGTATTAATTCTTCATCAGTTGTAGTCTGTTGGTAGAGTTGCTTGTGAGTCTCTTTTTAAGTGGTTGAAGTATTCATGGCTGTTCGTTCATTATCAGAGATCATACTTTTTGTTCTCTTAGATAGAAAAACTGAATTATAGACAGTGATGGAACTACCTGTACTACTGCTTTCAGAACCACAGCGGTGTCCTCTCGTCAACCTTTAATCGAGAAATTCAACAACGATACATCCTGTTTTGTGTTTCTCCTGACAACCCGTGTGGGTGGGCTTGGAATCAACCTCACTGGAGCGGATCGAGTCGTTATATTTGATCCGGACTGGAACCCTTCAACAGACTCTCAAGCCAGGGAACGAGCTTGGAGGATTGGACAGCTGCGTCATGTCACTATATACAGGTGTGATGATAGTCAGATGTTTTAATTGTTAGGCTATATTCCTTACGGTATACAGTAAATCATCACAATATCAGACAAGTTGGTGGGGGGGGGGCTAGACCAAAAAGGTAAAATATCAGGGAATACAAAAGAACTCTTTTGAGTAACCATTTCTCTAACTGGTGCAAGGTTACTCATCTCACACCCACACTATGAACAAATATCTGACGAGTAACCTTTATATCTTCCTTTAGACAAATTACTGATTAGCATTGATGAAGTCCAGTATATTTACCCAATATTTAGCTTCTCCTTCCTCTCCCTAGAAATTAGTTAGTATCTCACTTCAGCTAAACTGTAATTCTTAAACAGAGGCTAAGAGCTAGGGTTCCCTGCCTGCTGTGGTATTGTGATTCTACTCCATGATGTAAAATTCCCAAACATTGTTAGAGTGTACAAACTGTCCCCAGTAGGCAGTTTAACATAATGCCCACATATTGTACATGCACAGTGAAGTTTCTTGTACTTGGAAGAGTAATGTGTAGTATTATAAAATATCTCTGATCCTGATATTTTTTATTTTCTTGATTTTCAGGTTACTGACATCTGGTACTATTGAGGAGAAGATCTACCACCGACAAATATTTAAGCAGTTCTTAACCAATCGTGTTCTGAAGGACCCCAAGCAACAGCGGTTCTTTAAGACGAATGACCTTTATGAACTTTTCTCGTTAAATGAGGGTGACAAGGAGAAATCAGAATCTTCTGCGATATTTGCTGGCACAGAGTCGGAGATCACCGTACAGGTTAAAGGTAAAACTAAAGATGATAACAGATGGGCTCAAGTACCCAGCAAACCTTCTACAAGTCAACAGAAAATTGAAGCCAGAACTGGGGGAGAGTCTTCAAAAAAGCATCAAGATATTAAAACTTCAATGTCGAAAGAAAGAAAGAAAATTAAGAAATCAGAAGATATATCAAGTGAGAAAAAGGAAGAAGATAATGATGTTTTAAAGGATAACAGCAAGATGGAGCGAATGAGAGAACTTGCTCGACGTTTGAGCCAGAAAATTGGAGTTAAATGTCCATCTAAAGATGAACCCAAGAAAACACTGGAAGTAAAGAAAACTAGTGAAAAAGTCAAAGTAGAAGATGACAGTGAAAGTAATGAAAATAGTGGTACTGATAAAATAGAGGCAGTTATAGAAGTAAAACAAGAAAATCCATTAGTGATAAAGGAAGAACAAGATGAAGGAGAAGAGGAGGTACCACTCCACACACAAGATCCACCTCAGGTTGATGCAGGTCATACAGAAGACAGTGCTATTAAATGTGAGGGGAAGGAAAGTGAGGACTTGGACATTGTGCAAGAGAATCCAAATGATGGTGAGATTAAAGCTAGTGAGGCAGTTGAGGGTAAGATACATCAACCCACAAATAAAGTTGAGCTGTCAGTGTCAGATGAGTCTAAGAAACATAAAAGGAAGCATAAGAAAAAAGATAAACACAGAGAGAAAGAGAGGACGAATAAATCTAAAAGGAAGGGTCGTAAGTTTGAAGGAGAACGCATAGAGTTTTTGGTGAAGAAGAGGAACTACCGTAAAACAGAGGAAGAAGAAGAGGCAGAAAAGGAAACTGCAAAATCCCAGGATCAATATGTGTTAGAGAAGCTATTCCAGAAGTCAGGAGTCCACACAGCACTAAGTCATGATGCCATCATGAGTAACAGTGATCCTGACTATTTGCTCATGGAGGGAGAGGCAGAGAGAGTGGCCAAGGAAGCAGTGAAGGCCGTGAGGGCGTCTCGTGCACAGTGCTTCAGACCTCGACTCTCGGATGGGTCATCGGGATCGAACAAGCGTAAAACCATATTTGGCAGCAAGAAAAATAAGTTGTTTGATGACACAACTGAGAAGTCTAATAGCAAGGTGAAGGAAACCAAGAAAAAGGATATTAAACCACGTATGTTCAACGGAGGTATTGAAGAGGACGATGACAGTCCTCCCAATGCAAATGAAGGAAAGGACTTCATATCCTTTGGTAAAAGTATATTTGGCAGCTCAGGGTCAAGTAGTAGTTTGCTCTCTTCGTCACAACTTCTGTCCCGCATGCGTGAGAGAAACAAGGGCATTACCGAGGACTGTGAAAATGAAGATAGTGATGATTATGACCCGGATTATCCTTCGACGGCCGCAATTGAAACGGAAGACGTTGAACCGGAGGTACAGGATAACATAGACTTGTTGGCCGATATTCGTAATTTTGTAGCATTTCAAGCCAAGGTTGATGGACGAGCCTCAACGCAGGAAGTTATAGAAAGATTTCGAGATCGTTTACCCTCAGAACAAACTTCATTTTTCAAGGCTCTGTTGACGCAAATATGTGATTTTCACAGAGAGACAAATGGAAAAGGAATGTGGTCACTTAAAGGAGATTTTAGATAGTCACGTTAACCTGGATATGATATGGTATAGAAATAATCAGGTAATTGCTGGTTAGTTAATTTATTCTTTATTCTTCCCTTAGTCAATCCTAAAGGTTAGGTAAGGTAAGGTTGGTTTCTGGTATCTACCTCAGTCATCTTCCTTTCTTGACCTTCTATGATCTTGGCCAGATGCTTTTTTCTGTACATTTCTCACTCTACCACCTCCCTCTTACACGCTCCTCGCATTGGCTCTCATATACTCCTCCAAAGTCTGTACTGTACTGTATTATACTGTACTGTACCGTATTAGACTGTACTGTACTATACTGTACTGTAGTGTACTGAATTATACTGTACTGTACTACACTGTACTGTACTGTATTATACTGTACTGTATTATACTGTACTGTACTGTACTGTATTATACTGTACTATACTATACTGTACTGTATTATACTGTACTGTACTGTATTTTACTATACTGTACTGTATTATGCTGTACTGTATTATACTGCCTGTATTATACTGTACTGTATTATACTGTACTATATTATGCTGTACTGTATTATACTGTACTGTATTATACTGTACTATATTATGCTGTACTGTATTATACTGTACTGTACTATACTGTACTGTATTTTACTGTACAGTGGTCCCACGGTTAACGAGCACAATTCGTTCCAGAAGGTTGCTCGTTAACCGAAACCATTGTTTCAATGGGTTTTTGGGTAGTTGGTTCCAGCTCACCGAAAATTACATACAAAGTAAAAATAAATGCAGTAAAGTACACTTACTTTGAGGTGTGCATGTAGAAGGCTTCTGGTTGATGATGATGATGATGGGAATTAGAATGGGGGCTGGAGGAGAAGGGAGAAGAGAAGGCATTGGGGTGGAAGAGAAGTCACCCCATGCGCCATTTCACCCATAAAATTTTAGTTCACTTGGTGTAATTCAAGATTATTTTCTTTAAATCAACACTGCGCTATATATTATCAATATGTAAAATATATTTCAAAATGACCAATAATTTGACTGGAAACACAGAAAAAAAGGGTTTATGTTGAAGAGTCTCAAACAAGATTTTCCTTCCTCTGAACTGGTAAACAAACTGACGCCAAGCTTGGTGTGTTGAGTGGCTGTTTGGCGTGCATAAAACTAGTTTCCTGTACTTCAATTATTTTCAATAATTGTTAAAATGACTAAAAAATTTAATACTGTATAAAACTTTTAAAATGATTGAATAGTACAACCTTCTTGATATTTACTAAAATGGTAAGGAATTTAAGCCCTAGAACCGATTACTGTATTGGCGGACTAATAAGACAGCTAGTGAGCAAGCAAAAACATGTTGAGGGGCGCTCTTAAGGAATTCGTTAATCGAGGGATTGCTCACATTAACCGAAGTGAAGAATCTTATGGAAGGTAATTCGTTAACCGAGGGATCACTGTACTGTACTGTACTATACTGTACTGTACTGTACTATACTATACTATACTGTATTATACTGTACTGTATTATACTGTATTATATGATACTGCACTGTACTGTATTATATTTACTGCACTGTACTATAGTTTACTAAACTACAGTAAAGCCTCCTATAACGACGGTTCTACTAACAACGATTCATATTTAAGTTCCTGGTTAATATAGGACCCAATTCAATTGACGTCATTATTTTCTTAATATTTATGACGAAATAAGGAAAAAAATACATAAATAATAACTAAATCCTGATATGTATTATACAAACCACCTTGCGCACTGAGGCTGCTGGGCTTGTTAGTGGTGACGCCAGCATCACTAGTATGAACAATCGCAGCTGGCGGTCCCTTTGTTTTCATGCATCTGAGCAAGAAAAGGAGAAAATTCTCAGGTTTCTTAAGGCTTTTTTGTGTCCCTATTCAACATGAGCAAGAGAGCAAGTGATGGTAGTGCTGGTTCAAAAGCTAATAGAAAGTGTATAAGCTTAGCCGAGAAACTAGATGTGTTAAAACGTTATGAAAAAGGTGAGAGGTCTGTGGATATTATATAGAGCAAAAATTGAACATATTTTCTGAAGTGGATCCATTAACAGAACAAAGCATTAAAATTAACAGGGACATGAAAACGCAATCGACCTCCACGTCAAGATGTATAATGAGAAAAGAAAGCAGCTGTGCAAGGTTCTTTCGACAGGTTTATTATTCGAAGGCCTAAACCAGGGGTTCCCAAGCTTTTTCTAGCTTGACCCAATCCAGTGTTGTCAACTATCCAGTGCGACCCCAAATTATTTCACTGGCAGACCCAAAGGACCCCACCGACCCCATGACCTCTTTGCGACCCTACCTAATGAGCCTTCCGACCCCATTTGGGGTCGTGACCCCAGGTTTGGGAACCCCTGGCCTAAACCATCAACTTCAGCTACACCATCAAATTCAGCATCATAAGCAGTTTCAACAACAACTTCAGGTTCAGTAACAGTTTCAGCAACAGCTTCAGCCAGAGTTGAACCTACAGCTTCAGCCAGAGTTGAACCTCCTGATGACTTCGTCATCTGAGTAAAAACTCGCACAACATTATTGGCTGTCCTATGTTTTAGACTTTACCACTATTGGTGAGTAGAATTTTTGTTTTACATTCATAAGTATTATTTAAAACATATATGAACAGTAAAAAAGTGTTGCTTTCATATTCTTATGTAGATAAATGACAATAAGTTTTCACATGTACGCACTTAAATACGTTGGCGTTCTCAATCGTCTCGCTTTATTTCTTTACCATTAGTGGTTAGCTACTTCTATTGTTCCATTTATTAACATTAAATAACATTACTTAAAACATACATACAGGTATTCCTTTTTTTACATTAGGTTCACTACATCTACAACCAGGGTCTTATTTCTTCAGTTTCTGATGTAAAACCATTGTCACTCACGAAAAACAATGCCGTCTTGTCTCTTCTTGTATGTTATAACATTCTACGTATTATTAATGAATTGTATTGTTCATTTCACATTAATTCAATCAAATACATATTCAGTAATAACAATGATCAATCTTTTGTACATATTCTTAAGATAAATGACTATGTTTCCTTGAGTGCGCACGTACTGTATACATTGGCGTTCCACTATCAGTCTCACTTTTTTCTTTAATATCATTGGTTACTTCCACTGTACATTAAATAACATTAATTAAAACATACATATTTTTTACATAAATTTTACTACAACAACAACCAGGGTTTTATTTTCTCCAGTTTCAGATGGATAACTGACATTATGGGTGTGAATACTGACAACAATGCCGTCTCTTATCCTCTTGTGTATTTTAATATTCTACGTATTATTAAGAATTGTATTGTTCATTTCACATATACAGTATAAAGATTAATTCAATCAAATACATATTCAGTAATAAACAATAATGAATCTTTTGTACATACAGTGTACAGTATTTTTAAGATAAATGCGCACGTATATTTTGGCGTTCCTAATCCATCTCACTTTTTTTCTTTGCCATTAGTGGTTAGCTACTTCTATTGCTCCATTTAATTAACATTACTTAAAACATATACAGTATATTCATTTTTTTACATTAATTTTACTACAGCTACAACCAGGATCATATTATACTGTACTGTACTATTGTATAGAGTACATTCATAAACATTATTTAAAGAATATAGTTTGCATTTTTCATTAATTGTATTGTTTTGGGGGAAAAGAGGGCAAAGCGCCACACAAAAGATATGAAAAGGTCACACTTGGGAGTGCATTTCATTATTTTTGCTTTATTTTAATGGTAATTAAGATTCACAATATGATGATACACCTTACACTGCAATATTGGTGGACACATTACTGTTGTTATTCGAGGCTTTACTGTATATTATACTGCACTGTATTATACTATAATGTATTATACTGTGCTGTATTATATTATACAGTACTGTATTATACTGTTACTGTATTATACTGGACTGTATTATACTATACTGTATTTTATTGAACTGTACTGTACTATATTATACTGTATTGTATTATACTGTACTGTATTATATTGAACTGTACTGTACTATATTATACTGTACTGTATTATACTGTACTGTATCATAATGCACTGTACGGTACTATATTATACTGTACTGCATTATGCTGTACTATATTATACTGTACTGCATTATACTGTACTATATTATACTGTACAGTATAGTCTGGATTTACGCGGTCAATTGAGCCCATGGAGGTCCGTGTAAAACGAGAAACGCGTAAACGAAATAACAGAACATATGGGATTAATTGAAATAGAGACTGGGCCGACCCCCAAACTCCACTTTTTCCGACACAATACTTATGTTGTAGTAAAAATAACATCTTAATTTTATGATGGTATACACACACAATTAATATTTAAGAGAAATATCAATAATATTAGGTTTTTTAACACTTACGTTAGTAGAAAAGATGGCTGGGCACACAGGGATGGGGGGTTGGTTCCGAGGCAGAGGGCAGATTATGGCCCTCACCTGTATCACTTGTATCACTATTCACCACAGAGGCTTGCAGGGCCTCTTTGTCAAACCCCTCAAAGTTCATATCCTCACTATCACTGACTTGGGCTGGCTGTGGTGGGTGGCGGGTAAAGAACTCGGTAATGTTTTGATGACTGGGCGACCTTGTGCGCACCCTGCCAGCGCCGCTTCCTGCGTAAATGATGAAATTTACCGCGTAATTAAAACATTTCATTCTTGCAAGGTGCCGCGTAAATGACCAAACTCGTAAACAAAAACCGCGTAAATCCAGACTATACTGTACTATATTATACAGTTGTACCCCACTTAACGCGGTCAATTGAACCCAGAGGGTCCCGCGTTAAGTGAACAACAGAACATATGGGATTAATTCCAATAGAAACCGGCCCGACCCCCAAACTCCACTTTTTGAAGGCACATACCTATGTTGTAGTAAAAATAACATCTTAATTTTATGATGGTACATGCACACAATTAATACTTAAGAGAAATAGAGAAATACAGTCGCCAAGTTAATGTCCATTCAAATAATGGACTCAACTCCCTCCCCCTCTCACACTACACTGCCGGCTCTTCCCTCTCAGAGAAATTTTTGGGGGAAAACCACTAAATTTTAATAAATAATACCTCAAACTAAAGTTAGGATAATACAATTGACATTGCTGGATTCCTTGTAAGACCAGGAATATTTTGAATATAAATGTCATATATTTTGCACAAAAGATAACATAGTTACCTAGAGAAAATTTTTTATCTAAAATTTGTATGTTTAATGCAAAATATATGATGTTTATATTCAAAATGATCACCAAATTATAAGAATTCCAGCAATGTAAA